TTTCACCTATAATGCGGTAAGATGTTTTGGCTCCCGAGGACAGTGTTATATCGGGTGGGGGAGGGAGTGTGTGTGTGTGTGTGTGTGCGTGTGCGTGTGCGAGCGCACTTTGGCTTTAGAAGTCCATGAGAAGCTCTCCGTTAAATGATTTTAGGGAACCAAAAATGTTGGTCTTCCATGACCTGAGAGCTTCTGATCTCAGGAATGGGGCGGGGGTGGCCGGACTGCTGAAGGGAGGGGGCGGATTTTCTGGAGAAAGGGCATGTAGTGCACGAAGGATGATTTAAACCGTGTCACCTTGTTTTTCTAACCCTCGTTCCCTCCCTCCGCCTCTTACTTCCCTGCTGCTGCTCTCGCTCATTGATTGCATCATGCCTGCCTTCAGACCGGGAGCTCGCTGGAGAAGGGTCTGGTCTCTCACTCGGTCTTTGGAAAGGGCCCAGCACATCACACTACTACAGCACAAATAATAAATACACTAATTAAGGTTTGTTTGGGCCTTTGAACACGCTAAGTGCTCTCGTTAACAACCTGCCTAGAAATCCGAATGAAAATTAAACTGTAGCTATTTGCTTAAGATATTTCCTAAAAGCACTGGCCATTTGCACTCTGCAGGCCTCGCTGTCGGGGTCATCACTATCTTGACTGGCACTCTGAGGTTCAGGAGCACATCAGGAACTTGTTTTCCCAAGGTCAGTGGGAAGAGCCAGTGACAACGTCTAGGCAGCCAGCCGGAGGATTGTTTCAGTATCCAATGGCATTACAGAAGGAAAATGACACCGGGACTGGAATTTGCCCATAGAGATTGAAAGTCACCAAGAAATTTGAAAAAAGGACAAACAGAAGAGCTACCATTTTTGTGCAACACACTAAAAACCAATGGCTGGGTCCCCAGAGATTTGCGTGGGCCTGCCGACATACTGTTCTGCATGTGCCAACCACAGAAGGAAAGCAGCCATGTTCTTTAGGCTGCATTAAATAAAAGGTTGCCAAATTGTAGGGGTAGGATGTTACATTTGTATTAAATATAGTATATATCAAATGTATTAATGTATGTTTTAAGTTCATCCTGCCAGCCGTCCATTTTAAAAAGCAAAAAGAAATGACCCTCTGGGGCATTGGTAGAAACA